TATAAGATACAGACTCAGTTGTTCAAATATATTTTAGTTAAATTAAGTAAATTTCTCTCTTGGATACTATCAATATATTTTTACAACAAAAACCCACTTTCATTTAGTATATTCCAAGGGCTGTTGACTCAATCACTTCTATTAGTCATGCTTTCTTTAAAGTGTATTGTTGCCATGAGGACCAGCCTCCAGTACCACAGGGCTTGTTGGGGGGGGGTCAAACAGAGTCAGTGAACTAGGACTTTTCTATCTGATGGAGGAAGGAAAAAATAAACACACACACACACACCCTTGATGACTTTCTTCTGATTTTTTTTATTCCATCACTTTATTTTTCCTCTACAGCTTATAAATTCCAGCAAAATCTTTTAGGTAATCTAAAAATTACAGTGTGATTACATTTTTTTTTCAAGAGAATGATTATAATGAATGCAGGTAAGAACATGTTTTCCATTTCCCTTACGTGATTAAACATTTTACATATTACAGGTGAAAAATAAGTTGTCCCCAGTACCCACATACATTCATACCCAAGAACTTATTATAGGTGACAGAGTATAAGCAAGCAAGGTATTTTTTTCTCAACCAGTTTTTTTACTGGCAGGCTGCATTTTGCAGTTACAAAAGAAGGGCCATTTATTTTATTATTTATCTCAAAAGTTAATCTTATAAGGAATCATAAAAGAATCACAAATCTAAACTTTTATACATGAAAAAGAATCAGTTATCTCTATTTTAAATCCTCTGGGTGCATACCCATGTAACACGAATCTTAAAAGGTCTTGTGGTGATATATTGTGTCCCCCAAAATATTGTGCATCCTAATAAACTTCTCTGGGGTCAGAGGACAGAACAGCCACTAGATAGACATAGAGGCCAGATAATGCTGGCACACACGCCTTTAATCCTATCACTTGGGAGACAGAGATCCGGATGGATCTCTGAGTTCAAAGCCACACTGGAAACAGCCAGGCATGGTGACACATGCCTTTAATTACAGGAAGTGATGGCAGAAAGCAGAAAGGTATATAAGGCGTGAGGACCAGGAACTAGAGCTGGTTAAGCTTTTAAACTTTTAGCAGCAGTTCAGCTGAGATTCATTACAGATGAGGATTCAGAAGCTTCCAGTCTGAGAATCAGCTGAGGCATTGGAGAGGTGAGGTGCTGTGACTTGCTCTGCTTCTCTGATCTTCCAGCATTCACCCCAATAACTGGTACCAGGTTTGTTCTTATTAATAAGACCTTCTAACAATTCGTGCTACAAGGTCTTATCGTAAATAACCCAGAGCCAGATACTGGAGTGAAAGCTGAAAGATCAGAGGAGCAGAACTGCTTAACTCTACAAAATCCTCAGCCTCGAGAGAGCAAGTTCCAGTTTCCTCATGCCTTATATACCTTTCTGTGTCCTGCCATATTACTTCCTGGGAATGAAGGCATGTGTCACGACTGCCTGGTTCTGTTTCTCTCATGTAGTCCAGTGTGGCCTTGAACTCACAGAGATCCAGACAGATCTCTGCCTCGAGAGTGACAGGATTAAAGGTGTGTGCCACCACTGCCTGACCTCTATGTCTAATTTAGTGGCTGGCTCTGTTCTCCGATCCCCAAGCAAGCTTTATTGGGATACACACTGTATCACCCCATCCCCACTCATCAACAGTTTTTTTTTTATATATCATGAGTCTGAGGGCAGAAATATGCACAAGGGATTAATCGTCATCCCATCCAAGCAAGAAAGGCACAACAGCTATTATAATTGGACTGCTTTGTTTTTTGTTCCCTGGCATTAGCTATGTGTCCTTGTGAACTTTAGATTGTTTTCTAAGGCTTCTTTCTCACCTCAAAGCAATGATAAAAACATCTTAACCTAACCTGAAGTCATTTTAAGGCTTTGTTTTTGCTATGATGCACACCGAAACCTGTGAATACATCTTTCAACATCAAGATCAAAAGAATTTCAGCCAATTCTGGAATTCTGGCTCTTGCGACTCAATTGTTTACCTTGATCACTAACCAAAACTATAGTCCATGTACCTCCTTAAGTGAAACCATAGGTCCTAGCTGTGTGACACTTTCTTGTACTTATTTTTAATCATCAAAACTCCATTTAAATATACCATTATTGTATAAAATCATTACTTTGATTAAACAGTGTACAGCTTAGGAGAAAATCATCTTCATAATAATCCATGGATAAAAATGCCTAGTAGAAAGGGATATTTTCATGAGACAATCAGAGTACATTAAGGGCAGTGGGGATCTCTCCATGCCCATTCACACCATGCCAGATACCAGAGAAAAATGGCAGCAGCAAACATGTGAAGACACAGCAGAAGCAAAGACAATCTGGGGTCTTTGGTCTCAGGGCCTTGCCTATTTACCCATCAGGGCCTTGCCTCTTGGTAGGCTGATACCCTGAACTTCAGTTGTCATCTGTTGCTACTCGGACATGTCCACTGACAAGTGTATAGCAATCGCATGTTGTATATTAATGGCTGATAGACAGCTTTGTGAGACAAAATGCTTTCCATGTGTTCTGTTTTGAATGAGAATGACCCCCATATTTCATATATTTGAATGCTTGTTCTGCTGTTGGTGTAATTGTTTGGAAAGGATTAGGAAGTATGGCCTTGTTAGAGGACCTGTGTCACTGGGGGTAGGCTTTGAGATTTAAAAGCCTACATCACTCCCAGTTAGGCCTTTCTCTGCCTTGTGCTTGTGATTCAGATGTAAACTCTCGGGTGCTTCTCCAGCACCATACCTGCCTGCCTGTTACCATCCTCTCTGCTATCATGGTCATGGACTCACTTTCTGAAATGTAAGCAAGCCCCCAATCAAATACTTTCTTTTATAAGTGGTTATGGTCATGGTGTCTCTTCCTAGCAATAGAAAAGTAACTAAGATACTATGTAAGCTTATGAACATTGAGTTTGAGACCCAGAACTAACATAAAACAAAACAAAACAGGCATGGTGTCATGTGCTTGTAATCTCAATGTTGGGAAGGCAGACACTGGATCCATAGAGCTTGTGGGATAACCATCCTAACTTAATCAGCAAGCACCAGGCCAATGAGAAATCATGTGTTGAAAAATAAGGTAAAGAGCACATTAAGGAACATCACTTAAGGTTGAACTCTGATTTCTATATATGTATACCTGTACAGACACATGCCTGGGCACACATATACACATACACATGTATATTAAAATATGTTAAATTTTATGTTTCACTTTGTTGTAATAAATACATTATTTCCAGAAGTAGAGTATCAAACTGTTTTCTAAATTCATATCTCTTTACCCATTTGCTACTGCAGTTCTTAGACCTCATTAGAGAGTTTCTTTGTGTTATGGAGGTGGTTAATGCAGAAACTCAAAACTGGTCAAAATTCTGAGGATAAATGTCTGTATAGTGCTCAGTCCCAAACGGGACATCTACATCATATTCCTTACCCCAGGCTCCAGGGAATCAGTGGGAGAAGTGGTGGAAAGATGGTAAGATTCAGAGGTTGAGAAAAACCAGAACAATACAGATTCTTCTCTACCTGACAGGATTGCTGCACTCATGAGCTCACTGCAGTTTGGCTGCCTGCATGAGACCTGCACGAGAACAAGCTGCTCGGTATTCCAGCATGAAGTGGGAGGGGCTCGGCTCACCCCAAACTGAGAAATTATGGACAGGTGGGGGCTTCTGGGAGAAGGAGAGCCAATGGTCTTTAAGGGTGTGCCTCTAGTAGAAAGCCATATACCCATGAGTTTATAATCAACACAAATTGGACTTGGTGGGTTATGAAGAAAAATGAGGAGGATATAAAGTTGGGAGATGGGGATCTTGAAAAAGTGAGGAGGAGTCGGGGGAGGATGAATATGATCAAAATACATTGCATGCACGTGTAAAGTTCTCAAAAATTAGTAAAATGTTATATTTCAATGAAAAATCTAAAAAAGTCATGTAAAAATGTTAAAGACCTAGGAACTCCCCTTTCATACTTAGTAAAAAGACTCCTAAAGAGACCATAGCACATGCTATTTCAATTGCTTTTATTTTTCTCTTTTAACAGGAACGTTGGTTCTTCAAGGAAGTGGCTCACATTCTATTTCAAAGTAACCTGAAATAAATGGTAGGTATATGATTATTAATCCAAATATATTATTCCTTTGGGAACTTGTAAAATACATTTACACATACATGTTTATTTAATTTTTATCATATCTGTTGCCATAAAAATGTATACAGTTCAAGAGTTGGAAAATATTCAGCCTATGAATGCTGAGTAGGAAAAGGAAAATGTCAGAGCCCTTTTATATGTGTGTACACACGTGTTTTAAATACATACAATACAATACATATGTTTACATGTATTATAGTGAAACATTTTTTGACTACAACAATCTTATGGGTCAGTATTTAGTCTTAAGTATAGCCTATACTTTTCCAATCCATCCAAGTCTTACAGATACACCACTTTGATTCTGGTATATTGAGATGACAGTATATCTATTTTAAGTGGAAGGCTGTAAGTTTGTTTTTTAATATTATATTTGTAGCAATGTTTGGGATTAGTATTAAAAAGCTCATTATTTTTCTAAGGACTAGAATGAACCTTCCTATAGAGTGTAGATTCATAAGTCATCCAGTCTGAGCTTTCTATTAAAATTTTGCTTTCCGATTCAACCCAAAGTGAAAAATTGTTTATATTAGTAGAAAATGTTCAAACAAAAATATGACAACAGGTTTGCTTTTATTGTATCATAGCAAATAAAGACTTCCAACTTCTGTGTTATTGGATCTTAAGGGGACATAGTATGTATCTCCACTGCAGGTACCAAAGATTTCTACCAGAGAAAAATACTGAAACATATGGGATGCTAATAGCTAGGAACAGTATATCATCTATTTTCCTGGAATGATGCGTTCACACTAACAAATGGGAAGCAGAACAACCAAAGTGATTGTAGTATTCATACTCACCACCTGATTCATCTTAAATCACCCTGTGGCTTTCCCTTTTACTTTCCATTAAGAGGTGGGGTTGCAGTGGGAGAGTAGGGAATGGGAACAGGAAAAAATTGCCATGGATAGTTTTGATTTGGGAATGGTGGGTATCTGTCGAATGGATACCAGAATGGGGGAATAATAATCCGTGGAAAGAATTCATCGCTGTCACTGGCCTGTTAATAAAAAAAAAAAAAAGGCTTTGTTTGATGTAACTCTTTTGCACGTGGGTTTTCCTTATTAAGAAGAAAGCTTAAAGGTCTAAATTACTTACATTTTTGTTTGTAGAATTTTCAGGAACTTGATCATCTCGGTTTAGAAAATTAGAGCTAATTGTATTTCCCAATTTTAGAACTTAAAGTAAATTTTTTTCTAATAATTCTTTCTATAGCTATAAGACAAGATGGGAGGTGAAGGTGCCCATACAGATACATAACTTTGATTCAAATGACCATTTATCAAACCTCGTTTTGGAAATAATTTCTCTTTCTGTATCTCATCCCTTATTCTGTCAATTTCTGTGGTGAGAGGATGAAGTCTTAAATTACTGACCTAAGCATGGCCATGTCAAGGACCTCAATCTCTCTCTCTCTCTCTCTCTCTCTCTCTCTCTCTCTCTCTCTCTCT